GTGTTTATCTTTTAGTATTAGAAAAGAGATTATTTCCAGCAATGATTATATATTACTTCGACTTCTAAAAGCATTAAGGTTGGACAAATAGTATAATATTCAACAATGTTCCTTAATTCAGTCAGATTTTTTTATATTTAGAAGTCATTTATTAATGACTTAGAGAGGTTGGATTGCCTAAACTCATCTATCATTTAGTTCTTAATTTAAAATCAAACATTAGTACAAGTACAATTAAAGTTATCTTTTTCATGAAAAAAAAGTCCATTTGGAGAAAAACTTGCCTTCAAAGACAATCTGACATTATTTTAAGTTGTACCTAGACAACAGTAATTACTTTCAAAGCAAGTTTTGTTTAAAATTGGCTGAATTTTATCTAAAAGTTCATTAATAATAAGTTGTAGAATGCTAACAATTTCTAAACATTCAAGTTTTGATAAAAATAAATATAAGTCATAATCCCTATGATATCGTACTTTCACTCAAATTGGCAGAAATTCTATATATTTTTCATAAGCATAATTCAATCCATTGTAGAACACTGAAAACTATAAAATAAAATGAAAGCTCAATTGCCCACATTAACATTTATAATTTTTTGTCTTTACTAGTTTTTTTATCTAGTTTCATTTCCTGTATTTGTGGATTTACCATATTTTAAATATAACTTCTTCTCCTTTCATTCTTATTTATGTAACAGATTTCTATGATAATTACGCTCTTTTTTAAACACAATTTTATTAAAGTAATATTGAATTAAGAGATAGTTCCTTTATGCAACCTTTTTATATTTTCAATAGTGAAATTAAGTACACTATAAAAGAAATACTTATATAGTCTTGACTAGAGAATTGTTGTTGTTTGATGCTGTGGAGTTGTAGACGACTCATAGCGACCCTATGCACGAACAGCCTGAGCATTGTTCGTACATAGAGTTTCCGGAGGCAAGCCATTTCGGAAGTGGATGCTGCTCCTGCTTCCAGTGACGAAAGAATACATACATTTTTATTCCATATTGTATATATTAAATACTTTTTAAAAAAAGTTATATCTTCTATAAGTTATATCTTCTATATTCACATAATGGAATACTATGCAACACACAAGAGCAATAATTTTGTAAATTATTACCTAACTTGGGAGGGACTGGAGAGCATTATGCTGAATGAATGAACTAACTCAGTCCCAGAAGGAAAAGTATTGTAAAAACCATTATTTTAGAATGAGTGTAAGGATCCAAGAAGGGTGGAAGAGGTTGGAAGCAGAGGGATGAGGATGTGCAGGGGAAGGAGAGATTAATCATGGGGTTGTACAATTTGATGGGTGGGGTGATGAAGGAAATAGAAAGAATCTGTTCTCTAAAGCAATGTATTAGAATTTTGTAAATAACTAGTGTAAAATATTTTTAAAAAGAAAGAAAAATTTATACCTTTGTGTTGGCAGTGCAATTTCTTACATTAAGCCACCAGAATTTTCTACATATAAGCTAAGAATAAAATAATTTCTTCTAACTAATCCATTTGGTATACTAGTCGGTAAGGAGCTGCACTGTCAGTCCAAAGGCTGTACCTCTCCAGATGTCTGAATCCACCAGAAAATCTGTGGGAAGTAGATAATCAGTCTTCTTCATTGAGATTCAGAGCCTTGGAAACCTACTAGAGAAGCAGCTGTGAGTTTGTTCTGACTCGATGGCAGAGATTAAAAGAGAGATAAAGAGCTGATTAATGAGCGTATGTCCTAGAGAAAACATTCCTCTTTTTCAATAGACAACTTTTAAAATTTGTATGAAATGTTCCCTATTTAATGTCATTGATGTTCCTTTGTTTAATTTTGTTTAGGTGAAGCAAGATCAGATGGATGAAAACCAAACAGAAGTGACAGAGTTTGTTCTAGAAGGCTTCTCCCAGACACCAGCTGTTGAGGCAGGGCTGTTTGTATTATTTCTCTTCTTTTATGTGTTCACTTGGATAGGCAATGTCCTCATCATGCTCACAGTGGCTTCTGATAACCACCTGAACTCATCCCCCATGTATTTCCTTCTTGGCAATCTCTCTTTTCTAGACTTATGTTATTCCACTGTAACTACTCCTAAGCTCTTGGCTGACTTTCTTGAAAATGAGAAGCTCATCGCCTTTGATCAATGTATTGTGCAGCTTTTCTTCCTTCATTTTGTAGGAGCAGCGGAGATGTTCTTGCTCACTGTGATGGCCTATGATCGTTATGTTGCAATTTGCCGCCCCCTGCACTACACCACTATCATGAGTCGGAAGTTATGTTGCTTCTTGGTAGGTGCTTCCTGGACTGGGGGATTTGTGCATTCCATTGTTCAGACAATCCTTACTATTCATTTGCCCTTTTGTGGACCAAACCATGTGGACAATTTCTTTTGTGATGTCCCTCCAGTCATCAAACTTGCCTGTGCTGACACTTTTGTCATTGAATTACTAATGGTATCAAACAGTGGACTGATCTCAACTAGTTCCTTTATTGTTCTGATTTCTTCCTACACCACTATCCTGGTCAAGATTCGGTCCAAGGAAGGAAGGAAAAAGGCACTCTCCACTTGTGCCTCTCATCTTATGGTGGTAACACTCTTTTTTGGACCCTGTATTTTCATCTATGCTCGGCCTTTCTCCACTTTCTCTGTGGACAAGTTAGTGTCTGTGCTCTACAACGTTGTTACTCCCATGCTAAACCCTCTCATCTACACGTTACGGAACAAAAATGTCAAGTCAGCCATGCGGAAACTGTGGGAGAGGAGTGGACTTACTAGGAAAACACAAGAGGCGTAAGAATTTAAAGAGAAATTTTGAAGCTAGAAAATCTCACAGGAATGAATTTTCCCCACTAATGAATGGAATGATGGCAGCCTTATATGACATTTCTTTTATTAAAAGAATAATTTTTGCATTTCTGTATTTACAATTTAGACTTTCACCAAAAATTTATTCTGTCTTCAACTTTTCTTCTTTTTAAAGCAAATCTGCTTTCTGTTTTTCAATTAATTTATCCTTTTCCTATTAGTTCATCTTGCATTTATTCATCTTACTAAAATTTATTTCATTCACTCCTGACATTCTTTCTGCCATTACATATTGATACAGACTACTCAAGTACTCAGGTTAACTTCTTCTCCATTTGAATATAGGTCCTATTTTTTCTCAATTTTATATTGTTCTAACTAGTATTAGCAGTTAATTGGTAAGGAATATATTTCTATTTTTACTTTTACTAAATTTTTAGAGAGATATTAGCTAAATGACTTATAATTAATTTTATTTCAATGACCTGTGAAAATAAGAAAATATTAGTGACCTTTTCACATCACCTCACTGCTTACTAACCATTCAATCATGAAATTGAGACATCAGTTGCCTTACAGTGTGGGTTCAAACTTAATACTTGTATTGGAAATTTATCTGGATAGATAATTTAAATCTATGAAGCCCTAATTTTCTCATTTGTACCATATGTAGAATGATGTTTATGTCTTCACACATTTATGAAGACTAAAAATTACAGTTAAGGTGAATTTGTCTTTTTCAAGAACAGTAAGAAATGATGGTAAAATTCTAAACTATGTAATATGCCTTACTACACAATAGCCTGATTCACTGTTGCTTGTTTATGGATTGTGCGAAGTGTGCAGAAATAGATTCATGACATTTCACTTTTATTAATGATTGGACATGGTTTAAGTTACTCTTACCATCATCAAAGAATATATTGGTAACATTAGTTATATACTTAGAATAAAACTTAGACAAATACATTGGTCTAGCTATTAATTGGAAACGCTGTTGGCCTAGTCCATAGAGATTTGTGCTACTAACATAAAGGGCTCACATCTCTGGTGGTTGGATAAAGGTAGATAATTCCCTCTCTTGTAATTTGCAGCCTTGGGAACCCCTCTGGAGGGTCAGATATAAGTTAGTTTCAAGTCAATGGCAATAAGATCACAAAAACACATAATCTCATAGATGTTGAGTGGAGTTTCAATCAGGTTTCCAAGGCTTTGGAGACTGCTGGTAGATTTAAACCACTCACTTTTAAGTTAGCTGGTATGTTATTACTATACCATCAGGGCACTAAATTGACATTCAGTGTTAGAACAGACTAAACTCAAATAAAATATAAATTCTATATATAAATGAGCTGTGAAGTATTTTCAAGTTCACAGGTTCACAAGTAGTTTTAGCACCTAATTTGTATAAGACACAAATATAAAAATTAAGAATGTTTGATAAATTCATTAAAGGTTCAGATTCTATTTCTTGGGTGTTGTGTTCTGTGTCTAGGCCATTTTTGATACTAACTTATTTTAAAAATTTGAATACACTGTTTTCTAGATCAGATTTTTTTTCCAATTTCCCTCATCCCCCCCACCCATCAAATTGTACAACTCCATTATTAATCCTCCCCTCACCCCTGCACATCCTCATCCCTCTGCTTCCATCCTCCTCCCTTTGCATACTTATATTTATTAAAAAAATAATGGTTTTATTCAATATTTGTCCTTGTGGGACTGTTACTTCACTCAGCATAATGCTCTCCAGTTTATAAAAGTTGGAAAGGATGTGACGAGAAAGGAACTCTGATACATTGTCGGTGGGGTTGTAAACAACCATTCTGGAAAGCAGTTTGGCGCTTCCTCAAAAAGCTGCACAAAGAAATTTCATATGATCCAGATATTCCACTACTTGGAATATATCCTGAGAAAATGAGAACTGAGGCACAAATGGAGACTTGTACATTGATGTTCATAGCAGCATTATTCACCATTGCAAGAACATGCAAACAACCCAGATGCCCAACCACAAACGAATGGTTTGAGAAATTATGGTACATTTCTACAATGTAATGCTACATAGCATGGAGGAGCAATGATTTTGTAAATTATTACCTAACTTGGGAGACTGTATTTCCATTATCTTCCTATTTCTAATATCTACAAAATACCATAAAATAAAATAATACAGAGATTCAATAAAATCTTGTTAATAAAGACAAAGAGATTTAGATTTTTCTTTAGTAAAGAAAGGTGACCCAACTGAGTGTG